CTGAGATGGGGGCAGGCTCCAGTACACCCGCCTCACCCTCCAGGCAGGCTGGGCAAAGCCTAGAGCCTAGACCAAACTCCTTCTCCTCCCTTTCCCCCTCCCATTCTGAAGATGGCACTGGAGCTGGGAGGGGGGAGGGATGGGGCTAGGGGAGAGGGCAAGCAGCCGCTCATCCAAAGGGATGTACATATGGGTTTTAAGTAGGCAACATGTAATTTGGTCAGGACATAAGGGTTAACACCTTTATTCCCACAAAAATTGTCATAGTATCTCTAAGGATTGCAAGTGATCAGGACCCTGGTTTCATCATGTTGCATTTTAAAGAGTTACCTCCAAGCAGCACAATGTTAGCGTGCTGAGATGTTGGTTCATCTTGACTCGGAGGGAAGAATGTCAACTAATGAATAACTAATAGCATATCCTGCAGTACCTTGATGTTCTCTGGAGAGCTCCAGTCCTGCTTTGCATGTGAGATCTGACGAGATAAGAGCACAGGATAGTATAGCTGCAGGCACCTCTCTGATAATTCTGCTATTTCTATAATGTCAACTGGCTTCCCATGCAGTAATTCCTGAAGATGAGCCCAGCTCAAGCATTAGCCTTGCCATGTGATTGCATATTCGTTTCTTGCCTCCAGAAAGCTTGTTTTTTCAGGTAGTGTAAGACTGCTGCGATGGGTTTTTCTCTCTTGCAGTGGGTTGTCTTTTTTTCAGCTGACTTTTTTGGCCTCTTCCTGCCCCTTCCTCCCTTGAAGAGTCTAGTTATCCTAGTGCAGCATGTAAGGGGGAATATTTTTTCCTCTATTTTTTTTCTAACCAGAATCTCAAGTAACAAGGGCTGGATATTTCTTTTTTAAAAGTGTGAGTTTTAAAGGTTTTTAACTTTCTCCCCTTTGGCATGAAGAACACATGAGAGACTGTTTCCCTTTCAGTTCAATCAGTTGCTATTCATATAGAGCCACCTGCTTTCATCAGGATTTTTCTTAAGCAGAGAAGTCCCTAAATTGGAACCAGTTTATCAGTTCCCCCTAAACTTTGGCAGAAGTTTGATTTCAGATCACACTCCCCACTTGCTCTCATCTTTAAATCTAAAAGCTGGTGGGCAAAGCTGTTAGTTTGGGGAATATATTCACGATACTTAAATCCTAAAATAACAAGTAGCTGGGTGTTTTATATGCTACTTCCATACTGGAAATGAATTCTTGCATCAAATATTCATTTTGAAATCTGTTTGATTTGCAAAATCCATTTAACACCATCCAGTCACTAGCAGTTAGTGATACATTGCTAATGAAATATTAGCTTTTATGTAGATTTTGTTTTTGGAGATGTGTGGGCGATGCTTGTTTTTCTATTGAAAACATATCGGCTTGGTGCCTATCACTGGAAGAGCCTTGCATCCCAGATCCTGAAAATAAATAATGTCCTTCACAGTAGGCAAAAGAAATAGGTACCGGGGTCATTTCCTGGCGGGACACATGAACTTGGCTGAAGACCTGACTACACCGCTACTGTTTGTTATTGCTTGTAGGGCTGTTATAGGGTAATGTATAGCTGAGTTTGTAGGTCATGTCTTTAACATGCACTTCGTTTGTTTGAAGGGTGAAAACCTCCGGAGCAGTAAAGAAACGTACCACAGCAGTTCTCTGTCAGACATGGTGGTAATGCCAGTAAGCCCTGGGCAGGACGATGTATTCTGGAGTGCAGGCCAAAACGAAGAGCAGCCCCCAAAGGTACTGGAAATGGAAGGTGTTTAAGCCCCAGGCAAGCGTTGTTATTCGTGTCTGATTCATTCCCTGGTCTTTCTTCAGTAAGCATTGACTAACGCTCTTGATCTCTATATACACAACCAGGAGGGTTGCACATGTGCTTGGTATCTCAATGATGGGCTCATAAAACAGGGAACAACATCCAGGGGAGAATTCAGCTCCTATTGTCTTTTTTTCTTTCCCTCTTCTACCCAATTTTTAATCTAGAGTTTAATATCATAACTACTGATAGGAAGTGGTATCACAGATTAAATCCAACACATTACTGTGTGTGAAATCTTGCCCTTAATCAAATAAATGTCAAAATTCCCTTTGGTTTCAATAGAGTCAGGATTACATGGACCCTTTTCTGTATTGTATCCTTACAGTTGGGTTAGAAAAGACTGATAGGATAATAGTAACTTTTCCCCAAGGGTTCAGAATTGGTGTGTTGGCTTAAAAGATATTTTTCTGGGAAAGATAATATTCTTAAATGCACAAATGCATGAATTTGGATACGGTTCATTTTATCTGGTAGAACTGTGTGTGCATATGTGTATAAAAGGTCATATAATAGCTGAGTCTGTTAGACCGAATATGTAGTTTCTTTTGCTCCTTTGAAGAATCTAGTTGCACATCAAAGATAGTTCATTAGTTTATATAATTCAAAGAATTCTTAAGTAGATGAAAACCAGAGGAGTAAATGCAGGGTAGTTTGCACGTATACACACACACACACACACATATATATATATATATATATATATATATATATATATATTAGTACCTCACAGGTGGGGTGTGTGTGTGTGTGTGTGTGGTACTCTTTTCAAGCAATTGGAAGTAATTCACCTCTGTGAGTAAGAACACATTTTCTTGATCCCACAAGTGCATTTCCGCCCGCTGTAATGCTGAGCCAACAATCATGTGGTTTTACATAAAAAGACATACGCCCCAGAAAGTCCCACTGGAGCATTATGTTTTATGTGTTTTAAGTCTGCTTCTCATGTTAATACAGGGCATACATTGGGATTATTAACTGAGCATAAGATACCAGAGTTGCAAACTAAAACCTTTGCTTAAATCTTTAAGGTTCCAGAAAGAACAACCTCTCAATGTTACCAGGATCATGTGGGCCATCAAAGATGTCGTTCAGGGTAAGCTCTTCTGTGTATTGGGCTTAAACTAATGTTCACTTATTATCAATAGGAAATCTGAAGTCAGCTCATTAAACACAAAGCCATAACTTCAGTAACTGTGTGATCAACACAGGTTCATATTTCATTTAATGGCAATTACAGTTGTTCCCTTGTTTGAGCCAGTTACTCATAAAACACCTGGCAAAATGTTCTGATCTTGAACCTTAAACAAGATTCTGAGCCCAGTTTTGTACTTCTCCTTTTAGGGCACAGACAGAAGTGACAATTTTCACCCAGTCTGGTCACAGAAAGCAGGTATAGCTGTGACCAAACAAGTGCAGACAGCTTAAAAAATGGCTGATTGGGTGAAAATCTGACCCCTCATTGCATGAAGGGTCAGATGAAGATGTTTCAAAATAGAGTGTTGTCTGTAACTTCTGTCTGTGCTGCGTGCCAGCCTGTTTTCAGAATGGGAGGGGGGAAAGGGAATGGAGAGAGTTTGGTCTGGGGGGGTTTCAGCCCCTGCTGAAGGGTGGGGTGGGTGTATTGGAGCCCCCCAAGGTGGGGGCCACTCCAGTTCAACCACCTCACCCTCCAAAGCTGGCTGGGGAACCCCTAGATCAAGCTCCCTCTGCTCCGTTTCTCCCTCCCATTCTGAAACAGGGACAGGCTGGGAGAAAGGAGGGGCCATTGCTAGGGAAAATTGGCTACAGGCTTACAGAGAGGTAACAGTGAACTTCTGTTTGGTCCAGGGGATCGTTATAACTCAGAACGCTTCCTGCAAAGCGTTCTGAGTTACACTGGGGAGCTGCACTTCTGTCTGCACCCTTAATGATCCATAGGTTATTTTAACCAAAACAAAACTTCTTGTCACTCTGCTTCTTTTTTTTTTTCACCTTGGGGATAATTTTCATCGTGCTATATGATAATTCCCATAACGTGTGGTTATAACATATGATCTTTGTGAAGGCCTGATCCTTCAGACTTCTGAACTGTATAGTGCCTGCTTCTGGTAACAGGTCCATTTGTTCCAGATTTGTTTGTGCACCTTGAACATGGTGAACAGACCTGGATGGTTTTGATGTTTGATGTTCTGAATATTGTGCGACCACTTGACCAATGGAGAGTACAAGAAAACTTCTTCCATGGTCATTTGGCAGCATATTATACATCACCTTGGCGCTCTTGTAAATGGCTTTGGGAGATGCAGAACAATACATGCTATGGCTAGTGTGTATCAGGCTCTAGGCAAGTGCTGGAGATCTGTGCGTTGTCCATCACTCGGTGTATGCACAATGTGAGCTCTGATTTGTGATACAGGCAGTCCTTACGACATAATTGGTTCCTGAAAACTGCATCTTATGTCAAAACGTAATTCGGAACCATTTTTCCCATAGGAAACAATGTTATAAATGGGGATTGGTTCCTGAACCAAGACACGATGCCCTATTTTCACCAAAAATAACCCAGAATTTTGTACTCAATCAATTATAGATTAATAATATAGCTACATTAATGCATTTATATTATAAATAGCAATCATATTGATTTGGAAGGACTTCTTTGAGGTGACTTTGCTGGACTTTTTGTAAGGCTCTTGGTTGGACTTTTTGAGGGGTTCTTGGCTGGAGCCTTCTCAGGAGTCTTGCCTGCAGGTTTTTCTGGAGTCTCCTCTGCTTTCTTAAAGAAAGTGCCTGAGCAAGTTTGGACAGATGTTCTCCAGGGACATGGGCGACGCAGTGAACTTGTTTGCTTGCGTGGCGTCGCATCAGATCAAGCGTTGTAAAGTCAAAACTGACATCATAAAGTTGAAACAGGGTGTCAATTTATAAACGTTGTAAGTGCGAACCGTTGTAACTCGAAACGTTGTAAGTCAAGGACTGCCTGTACTGGTGCCTGCAGCCTCATTCTCCCCGTCAGCAGCTTGAAAATGGCACTGGCTCACAAATACCCAATTATATGATGAGATTGGCAGAAGAACTTTAGAAATGTGTTAGTTTGGCCCCAAATCCCACACTGCACAGAGCCTAGTGCTGGAACATTGTCCCCAGTTTGTCTGCCCAAATGGCTATGCCCTTATTTCAAAAAGGTACAGTGCTGTGATCCCAATGGAAAGTAGATTAAGCTGACATGACAAAGCAGGAAGGCCTGCTTTCGAAACACTTACTCTTGACTAGCTGAAGTGGGAAAACATCATCTCAGGTAACTTGCATGAGTAGTAAGTATTCTCTGTTTAAGAATTATATGATTCTGTACAGAAGGGCAACATGAGCTGATAGTTAAACTGTAGTATTGCGAGTTAGGCAGTCCTGGTCCTGTGGTTTCTAGGTCTTGTTTTATCATCACCTTAGAAAAGTCAGTTTATCTCCTTACACATCCATTTCTTCCTTTCTAAATGGGACTAATAACTACTGTGAGGAGGTGTTTGCATGAGTTCATTAATGTTCATAAGTGCTTTCAAGCCTTGGAACAGAAGCACAAAATATACTGACATGGGGATTTTTCCTTTGCTTAGCAGTGCCCACCAGCCGTCCCTGGGGGGACATGCTCTGAAACTAAGCAGCAGCAGCTCTCCGACCAGCAAGCAATGGGAGGTGGGATCTCAACAGAGCAACAGATCAGCCTCAGGTGATTCTTAGGTCAATGCTTTATCAGTTAAGATATGCAAGGCTCCTTTTGCACAAAACCCTGGCTGTGAAATCTCTTATCTCTACACTGTGGGTTTTTTTAATTGCATACCTGGTACAGAAAAGACTCTGATTGCTTTCTGGGTTTCCTGGCCTGTTTTCCTAAGAGAGAAATTCTTCTTTTTTTGAGTCCAAAAGTTGCCTGTGAGCCTGTTTCCAGGCAGGACATTTGAACGGTCTCAGTTAGGAAGTTAACAAAAATCAGTTGTTTTTATCCACCGTGTTGAAAGTCAGCAGAGCTGGTTCAGAAGGTAGATTGGCCCAATTAGAAGGCAAATGCTGACTTGCAGGTGTTTTCTTCCTAACCTGGTGCTACTTTATTGCATTGCTTGCTAATGAGATGATGCAGTTTAGCAGCTGTTGCACATTAATGCTTCTGCACTCTGATATGGTGTTGGCTAAAGAAAACATGAGGATTCTCGTTCAGCATTTCAGTGTATGATAATGAATTTATTAAAAACAGAGTGAAACGGGGGAAAGGGGCAAAATGTAGGAGATAGAAGCAACCACATGAAGTGCAAGCAAACTGCAAGCTGATGGGGGGTGTTGTAGCATGATTTGTGCATGATGACTCACATAGCTCACCCCGTGATTACAGCAAATGTGAGGTTAATGCCGATTTATGACGAAGTCTGATTCCTCCTAAATAAGTGGCTTGAAACTCCAACTGGCTTGGGGCCCTGAGGAGAAAGTAGGCAGCTTGGCAGCTTTATTCCTCTCTTGTTGCCTCTAAATGTATTTTAATTATACACACAAACAATTATTATATTATATATAATACATTAAATTATATCATATAATTGTATGTATAAAAATAAGTAGGCTGTGACGGTTGTGTCTGGAATCCATTTATATTAATTGAACCTGATTGTCCATCGTGTATACGCGCTATAAAATGGTGGCATTTTAAACCCACTTGTGCTAACGTGTTATCATAAAGCAGGAAAAACCAGTCCCATTTTGGTAAAGTAAAAATGTTCAGATACTCACCGAAATGAACTCCATATGTCATTAAAAGACAAACAAAAAAAGTATTTTTAAAGGGAGGTTCATTTTGGTAATTTAAAGCATATGCTAAATGAAGGAGAAATTGCTTCTTTATTAGATTTCTACAGTCAAGGCTACTTTGCTATAAATGACTAACCAAAGTAGGAGCATTTTGCTTCAAGAAGAACACACGGGTTGTTTCTTTTGCTGTTAGGTCATTTTATGTTTGAATAAAAATTTAGTGATGAACAATCATGCAGTGGCCTAATTCTGCCTTGCATGATGTGTAACTCATGTGCTATTCTGGTCAGGAGAAATGCAAGTCTCACCAGCTATGGAAAGAATAGAAAACCTCCCCTGCAGTTTAAACAGTCTCCTTGGGTGCTTAAGTGCAATTAAATTACAGCTATTTTGGCAAGTGATGTTCAAGGAAGAGCTTGTTACTGTTCCAAACCCAGAGGAACAGTGAATGTGATGTGAAAAGGGCTGTAAATACAGTTGAACTGATCTTGCAGCATAGTTGATTCAAACAGCGACTGGTAACAAGCTAGGAATCAAATAGAAAATGCACATATAATGATGATCATCAAACTGCCTCAATATACAAATTAGGGTATTGCATCCTAACGTGTACAGGCTAGATTGTCCCACCCTTGCACAAAGCACTTCTGTGTTTGCATGCGGTCCACTTCCATCCCTAGTTCATATACAGAAGAGAACAGTGAAGGCTTGTGGAGGCCAACACATCAGTCCCGGTCCCGGCATGTCCTTTCTGACCCATGCTCGGTTCCTGTATGCAGATCTGCTTGTCTTCCACCATACGCAGTGGCTGTGTGGTTTCCACAGGGCTCGTCTCACCCCTTGCAGAAGCGCATCGCTCTCCACTAGATTTCAGAATAATACAGCCAGGCAGAGGGCTCTCTCTGATAGCTAAACCCTAACGCTACTGTCTACAACTCTTTTGCAGGGAATCAAGGACTGTCTAAGGCAGAGAACCCCCTGTCCCCCAACCACGTGCAGCGGTGCAAGAAGTCTGAAAACACCCCTCATCTGACCCAAGTTTCAGTTGCTTTTACGGGGGTGGTTTTCACTATCAATACTATTTCTGTTTTGTTCACAGTTTCTATGGCGCAGACATTTAGAAAGGGTTAACACAAGTGTAACCTGTGTTTAAATAAATGATTAATCAATTGTTGTTGAAGCCAAAGGTAAAGAGGTTGATGTAATATGGCTTATAACTTTCTGGAACGTGTTGTACTGCCAGGCTTATAACCAACTGGAACATATGCCACTCCTGGCCATAACATGCTTGATAATTTATTAACCCTTCACAAGACATAGATAGTATGCCATTAATGTAAAGTGGAACTTTCTGTGTGTGTCTTATTTGTTAAATCAGCCTTGTAACGTTTGCTGGCTGCCTCTCACTTCAGATAACTGGAGCTAATAGTGCCTTTGGCAAGAGATTAGAAGTGGAATGGTTGGTATTTTAAAAGTTGCAGGGAAGGGTCTCGATGGCTTGAAGTAATGCAGAGCCAGACCGCACGTCAAATTTAAAGCAAGGCGGTGGTGTCCTAAAGTTTGTAACATCCATTAGTGATGGAGGAGGAAGGTGCAGTGATGCCTGTCGATGACTTGGGAGAACTGAGATCCCCTGTGTGACCGAAGTGCCTAAATCTGGGCTGAGCCGTAGCCTCAGCTCCCATGTATAAAACTGAGAATGACCCGCCTCTGTCTTACAGAGATGTTGTGGCTATGAGTGCTTTAGGATGCTGAGGATCTCAGAGATTCTGGTAATGAGGCTGCCCTTAAGCTCACCTCTACCTCATCACTACCTCATCCATTTACCACATCCAGGGTGAAATAGTGCTGCTGTGCTCTCAGCTGATCTCCCTCTAGATTAGCATCAAAGCTACGATCCGAATGAGTGGTGACAAGGATCACAGACACAGTGGGAGCCAAGGGCTCAGGGGGCTTTGGCCACTGAATCTCACTAGAGATGGTCCTTCCAACTTAGGGCTGAATGCTGGCTTTAGCCACTACCGAGGTTGCTGTCTGCAACCCCCCGGAGGAACAGACACGGCTCAACGGGCTTGTGAGAACGCGCCAGCAAAATTGAAGTGGGACATTTCATGTTCTTCCTGTGCACAATGCTTTTCCCTTCAAGGGTTTTCATCACAGGCATTAGAACTCCTCCTTTAAATAGCATGAAGACGAAGCCTGATTGTCCCCCAGGAATGGAGATGTAGCTGATTTTTTTTTTTTTTTAAACAGATCAGATGAGCAGCAGCTGTACTGCTAATGAATCTGAGGATGCCCTGCTAAAATACAGTGAGATGTTTGAGCCTTTGATTTAATATCTTCGTTAAAATTAACCACATTCCATTGCTAGGGGATTGCAGTCATTTCAGTTTAGCTCATTATTCTTTTTGAAATCTCAAGCTTCAGTTTTGTACCATTGAAGAGTCTTATCTTTTTAATAAATATTCGCAGCATAAAAGGTATGGTAACTACTTATGCTGGCACCAATTGGAAGTGCAATGACATGGTTGCTCCTGTGGTTTTGCACTGGAAAAATGCAATTGAATTTCCTTTATTCAGAGTCCAGGCTTCTTTGCCAAGGGAAAGGACGGTGCCAACTCGTTCTGGAAAGCAGCAGAATATTCATCATCGAGTGATGAAGTAGGCAGCAGTGATGATGATGATCTAAATCACATAAGGTTGGGGTTTTTTGCTTTTCTTATATATTTCTAAGTATTGAAGGAAAACCAGGCCCACATCTTCAGCTATAACTGTGCAGTGCTCCACTGAACTCAGTGCACTGTATTTCCACCAGTTTAGAATTTCATCAATCATATTTTCTGAATATTTGAGTGCTGCAGAATTATTGCAGTTATCAGATCATACATCTCGGATTTGCAATTTTTTTACCAAGTTGGTCTTACAATGACATATTCTTCCGTAGCTTCCAGCTCTCACTCACATGCACACTCTCTTTCTTTTCTTTTTTTTTGACTGCGGTGCTTACCAATCATTCAAAATGTATATTTTGCTGAGAATTAATTGAGTGAAACGAAATGGCTATTCCAAATGACTTAGAGCAAAGTGATCAATCAATGATGCGTGCTGCTTGAAACTACAAACCAAATTCTTTCCAGCATCTTCTGATTTTCTTTCAAAGAAGCTGCCTAGTTAATTCATGTTCTAGGGTGTTTTCAAAATGTACCGCGGTCGCACAGAGCTCTCTGGGATGGGACTGCTTCTGATCTAACCTGATGGTACAGGGTTTAGTCAACCGACAGAAAGAGATGAAGAGATTTATAACTTGCTTTGCAAGGCAATTGTTTGGCTTATTACCTGTTGTTTCCACTGGGCTGCTCTGAAAGCAGAGTTTTGCAGGCCTGCATATGCTCCCTATCCCTGTGTTTTGAGTCCATTTTCAAGGCACAGTGGGAGGAAAAGGAGAAATATATAGAAAGCGCCACTTGTTTGAGCCACCTGAAAGTGATTTTAATTGAATGATTTGTTTTCCCCAATTTTTCTCCTCCAACCCACCCACAGTGATTTGAAAAAGGATTTTTTTTTTAATCAATCATAAGCTGACCTCAGAAAATCTGAAGAAGAAAAAAAGTATTGCCTTGCTATGACATTTACATTACTTAAGCCTTAACGTTTTGTGGCCCCTTCCTGCTAGAATCATTCTGAAGTGCCTTGTCACAGTCACATTATGTCAGTGGTTCTCAACCATTTTAGGCTGAAGACACCCCTTGATATACTCAAGGCACCCTTTGGAAAATGTCAGCTCTTAGTTGTCACTCTGTTTTTGACTATAATAGAGCAATTCTTCTATTTCAAGGAAATAGGAAATACCAGAACAGCTCATTTTTAACAATATGGATTCCTTCTTGAAATCTCTGAGTTTATCTTGTGAATCATGTTTGCACGCCTAAGGCTGCGTCCAGATGAGCGCGGACATGTGGTATGTGGCGCCGGGACCTGTCTGTAACGCCATGCACCACACATGCCGGTGTGCCCCATGCTGCTACCTTGCAGCACGTGGGGTTTTTCACCCCAGGAGATCCCTGGGTCGAAAAACCTACGGCAAAAAAAAGCGAGGCGGCGCATGTGGCAGCAGCACGCACCGCCCAAAACAGGAGCCTGGCCAAGCAGAGCCATGCTCCAGCTGCAGGCCATGCTGCCAGTGGTAGGAGCACCACGGCTGCATCTCCCCAGGGCCCCCAGGACTCCAGGTAAGGCTGCTGGATCCAGCATAGTTGCTAGCCACAGCCTCCCCTACCCCACCCGGGGCAACCTACCATGTGCCAGGGCACACATGGCACAGGTGTTCCCCAGGGACAAATAGCAGCAGCATACCTTGTACTGCTACTACTTGTCCTTGGGGAACACCCATGCCATGCAAGCTGCTTGTCCTCCGGGAAAGATGCCATGCTGCTGCTACTGGCCCCCGGGGAAACAAGCAGCCGTACTCGTCTGGATACAGCCGAATAGTGCTAACACTGTGTGCTTCCCCATAGCACCCTAGAAAGGATCTCAAGGCACCCCTGGGTGTTGCAGCACCCTGTTTAAGAATCACTGCTTTAAATCTACATAAATTAGTACATGGCTTTGATGACTGAGTGGTACAGGGCCTTTTGTGAAAGGAGCAGAACAGCGTGACCCTCACATGCGCTTTGTCTTTGTATACCTGGAGCCATAGCAAGAGCTTCTGTAAAATCAGAAGTGTCATATTGCCTATTAACTGAGTCACTCCACCTCGGCTGAGCAACCTTTCAATTGAAAGTAGATCCTGCGGGAAACATACCCTGATTAACTCTAATTGGATAGAGGAAATTAGGGATGGGGGAGGGTCAAAGTAAAATCTGTAGCCAGTCCTGAAACTGTTCATGGCCTGGAAAACTTCCATTGCCACCGCTCTTAGGTTAAAACCTTTCCTGTGTTATAAAGCATCTCCAGAGCCCTGTTAAGAGAGTGGGAGTCTTTTCATGCGCTTGTGTGGGCTTTGGAAGAAACACGTAAGGCCAGAGTCTAGCTGGCCATTTCACAGAGGGAATATTTCCTTGTCCCTAATTAGACTGCAAAGCTGCCTTGCTATATGCTCATATTTTGGCTGAGTATAAAGGAGACAGAGCCACAGCTCACATAATATGTTCTGTCTCAGAGAAGGCATGAATGAGCCATGTCCATTGATGCTGAGGCATAGGGATGTCCTCTGAAGAACAACCGCTGTGTATGTGCCCACAAGAGCCAGAACGAGGGCAGCTGTCTTTCCCCCCGCCTTCAGCAGTCTCGCATGTGCTGCTAGTTTTCTGTTGTGCTTATGTGTGAGATTAGCCAGAATGTGTCCACTCTCTTTTTAGTAAAGGACTTCAATTCATGGGACCTAGCTGAACTAAGCTCTCTATATGTCTGTCCAGTGCACGTACGTGTTTACCGCACTGCATAATGTCCCCACTTCACTGAGAATATGTCCTCCTAGGACACATGTAGTGTTCAAATAACTCCAAATCCCTCTAAATCAAAGGATTTCCTATGGCTAATTTTGAAAGATCCATTTCATATATCAGCCTGAACGTAGGCAACTTGCATACAAATCTTAAACAGGGAGTCCCTCTGCATTTCTTTGGTCCTAGTTAATAAAAGTGGATATTAATATTTTGGAAGGTCAAATCCTGCTCGCCGCCTTCATAATAGCAATCTCAATAATCCTCAGTAAACTCTCCCGTCCCGTTGTGCTTCATTCCATTTTTATTATATATGCAAATGTTTGATTTAACCCTGCCGGCAAAAGGAAATCACCGCACATCTTTCAGTTCCGTTTTTCTTCATTTCTTCAATAACCTGCTGCCTCGGTTATTGCCTTTAAGTGCAAAAAGTGTCTCCCACCAATTGTGATGCAATGCAACTAGTGTAGTGGAAAACTTCACAGCAGGATCCAGAATTCAAGCAATTTACAGACACCGGGGGGAAAAAACAAATAAAATAAGCCTAATGGATTGTAATAATGTGAGTGCAGTAGCACAAACACCGTATACAAATATGGGGACAGTTCTTTGCCGGGTAATCGACCATTGCCATAGCTTTTAGGTCAATAAACTGCGCTTGAAGAAAAGTGCCCTGTGGAAATAGTGATCATTCGTGGCCAACTTTTGCTATAAGAATAGGTGTTTTCCCCATTTGTTTCCAGTCTTGGCTATTCATTTGGTTGTAGTTGTACCCAGTGGGACAAAGCACGATACCTTCTAAGAGATTTTTCTTCAGGGTAGGAAGGCTGGTTCTGGACAACGTTACACAGTTAAGGACCAAATATCAGTTGCCTAAGTGAAATGATGTTTGACAAAATGATGCTGGAAACTCGGGGGGAAACTAAAGTCATCTCTCAAGATAGGAAGGGGTTCTACTTGCAAGTCAGCATCAGCATAAAGTCTCTGTAGATATGTGCACAAGCTAATCATGGAAGAAGAAATATCAAAGTGTAGCTGGTAACTGTTAATTATGAGTAGTTACTTTGAAAATGTTTGTGTTTTGGGTTGGGGTTTTTTCCTCTTGGATTGGTTCTGCTCATTAATTGGAATTTGTTACCAGGCAACCGCTAAGTAATAGAGCGGCAGATTTCTCAAGGACAAGAGCTCCGGATGGAATTGAACTGAAACCTCAAAGCATCGTCATGGAGCAGAAGGTAATTTGGCCGTGCTGAGGCAGTGGGTATGATGTGTAGGGGAGTCAGAGCCCTCATAACTGCCAACGCACACGAGGACTGCCCTTTCCGTTTCTTTTCAACAGCAGTCAGGCATTTCCTGTAAAGTCTCGATCTGCATTTGCAAAGCATAGGTACAAACACTAAAATAAAGACGTCCTATATCAGGTTTTTTTTTTCCTTATAATAATCCACTCATAGACTAGTTACTTTCCGGGTATAGGAGCTTTTCATATCAACACATTTATTAAAGGCACAAAGCCTTTCATTCAGCAGAGCCTAAACGAAGCACTGCTATCAATAATAATACATCATTTGGATTATTGCCACTAGCTGACAGCCTTGACCTACTTTATAACCTTTACAGCATAGAGAAAAATATCTTCTCACTTCTTAAAATATTGCCTGAAGGAGAATCACATCAGGCCTGTTCATTTAAAGACAAAGGAGGCCCACAAAGCATCGTGGTGCTCTCTCAGTTGCCCTCTTTGGGTTCAGCTCCACTGCTTTACCAAGGAAACACTGGGCATTTTTACATGTGCTCCGGGGGGAGGGCACTTTAATTAGAGCCTCTGTAATTAAAGTGCCCACAGCCTCTCACACATCAAAATGGCAGCAGGGGCGCTTTAACTAAAGCTCGTCGCTAATACAGGAAACATGGAGGCTGCCAGAGTGCGCTAATTGGCACACTCCAGCAAACTCCATTAATCAATTAATGAAGTCTGTCCTGATGCGCTGTAATTGCAGCACACCAGAGCAGCCTTCCCCCATGTCTACAGGCACCCGCTGCTTCCGGAGCACAGGCTAGTCTTGTGGGTATAAGGCAGAGACACAATCAAGTAAAATCAAACCACTGCAGCAAGCTATATTCTCTGTCACTGCCTTGGAAACACAAACGCTAATAAGGGCAATGGTTTGCATTTGTGGAGCCACCTTTCTTTTATACATCCCTTTAAAGCACTTTTCAAACTTGAGTGAATTTGTTCTCATTCAGCAGAGGGTGAAGGTGAAGCCGAGAGAGATTGAACATCCTGACTGCCGTCTCAGAGACGTCGGTGTCGGAGCTAGGAAGAGGGCACCAGTTCTCTAACCCCAAGCTAGACCACTGAGCTTTAGTCATTTGGTCCTTTGACCTGGGGGGAAAGAATTACATGGCATTCCCCCCGCCCCGCACCCCATGAAGAACCCTTTTAGGGGAAGAGCACCGAGGGCCCTGCTTCCAAGAGAAAATCATAAATAAATGATGAATTTTGAAAACACAATCAAGAAGAACAGAAAATTATTCATGGCATCCCTTTAACTTGCAATTAATTACTTGACTTTTAAATGGAAAATGGTTTCTATTTAAAATGACTTCCTTTTGTTTTCAGATATATTGGCTGGCATTCAATAAGGTTTCAGCAGGCTGTTTGTCACAGGCAGTGAACTGCCCTGAGAACTGCCTTGGATTCAGCTAGCCAGAAATTGGGCTCTTGTGTTTTTTTGCCTTGATAAAACAAAGGAAGAAATATCTGATGTGAAATTTAGCATCTCATCCTTTCCTGTATCTCAGGAAATGACCTTGGTCCTCAGCTCCGACCTTCTCCTTGATACTTCACAGTTGTTGGGTGCATCCTTCCATTTGCATCCTTCCACACTGTCCTTGCCATCTGGAGTGCAGCGTGCCCTTCCCATGACCGTTTACAGATCCCAGCTCAAGCTGCGTCTCTTCCTCTAGCTGAGAACTGATGGCCCTGGTTTCCCTGTCCTCAGGTTTTTTTTGTGATGGCCATTGCCCCCCTCACCTTCTGCCCTGCTATATCTCTAGGTCCTGCTTATGCAATGGCTTGTAAGTTGCCTAAGTTACGTGGAGTTGCCTGTTAGCAAAGGGCTGCGGTCCTATTAGGGAATGTTGCAACACGAAAGCGCCTTTTGTTGGCAAAGCTGACCCATCTTGAATGAATGTGACACTTTTATAATGAAACCTTGCAATTAATGTAAGTGAAAGGTTTAATGAACAACCCTGGTGTAATGCAATGCTGGGATCAAGACACTTTTGAGTTAAGATCCTGGATCTGACATCGGTGATCTTAGGCCGAGTTACACTTCCACATGTTACACAATAGGGTGCAAGTGTGCCAGACAATGAGTTGTAACTTCCAAACCTCGTCTCCTGTGCAGGATACATTTGGAGGGAAACACAGTTCCAGCACCCACAAAGGGCTTTGGAGCATAAACAACCAGAACTATCTCCTGCCAGATCTCCTCCAGCAAAGCCAGATTTCTGACTCCTCAGCAAACCAGCAAAAGGTTACGCAGAATAGTCAGGGAGCCCAGAACAAATCCGTGAATAATAAGGTACAGCTTCCAGCTTCAAGACTCACTGCAATAGCCCTCGCTTCTCCTTAGGCAAAGGGACCCAGAGTTCGACTCAGTTCCCTGGAGCCGCTCTTTCTGGAGAGACTGGTTACCTCTGACCCCTCTCTTCTCTGAGGCAATGTCTATACTGCCTCCCCGTTGAGCCCGGGACTAATGCCAAAAAGGTTCCCACCCACTCAGCCCGGCATTGTGCTTGGCCGGCCTCAGCAATTGGGAGCATAGATGGCTTGGAGAGGTCCTGAGCACAAGGCCGGGGCCGGGGACTGAGTACTGTGCTGGGGGAACATGCCCAGGAGTTTGCAAAGTTCTCATCACTGTGTGCACATGCAGAGCAGGAGAGACTGGGCAAGGCTTGTTCCTTGGCAGCAGTCCCAGGCTCTACAGGGAGGCCATAAAGCCATGGCTGAAGGAACTTGCGAATCTGTTCCTCCATCCATTCCTCCCATCCCTCTGTCCCCCTTTCTCTTCATCTCCTTCCTGTCACTCCTCTTCTGCACAAGCAAAAAATGGTTTGGCAGTTACTGTTCTTTTCCCCACTTCCCACGGTGAAACGCGCTCAGCCCTGCACTAGTGGCTGCCTTAGTGACTCATCCTCCCTGTGCTCTGTAACACTAAGCACTATGCAAATAGGGCACGGACTGAAAAAACGTGCATCAGCAACATCAATGGAAAATTGCTAGCAGAACCAGTCCAAGGGTGGCTTGAAAGGGCGGGAAAGAGAGAGCATGTTAGTGTGTGCAAGGAATACTCCATCATGGGAGAGAGCCTCCAAGAAGGGCACTGGCTACCACAGCAGTATCCTCCTTGGAAAGTCTGAGTAATGCCCTGCTCCAAATCAGGGAGCAGTGAGGGATTGACCGGCGAGGTGCCTCTTCCCCTTAGTTTTCCCCTTGGAGCCAGTTGTTTCATTGCAGTGCTGTGCCTGGTGAGGAGCCTTGTCCCAACTTTCTCCTTAGGCTTCCTATGCAGGAATTGAATTTGTACTGTAGAACTTGGCTGCAGAATTAGTGTCTGCATCTAATGATATAGTATGGATATACTGGCATTGATGCATAATGTCTGCTTCCCTAATATCAAGCTGGCCTTGTTTTTCATTGCAGGCATCAAGCACTGAAAGCACCCCCTCAAAAAGCAGTACATCATCTACAGCATCATTTACTTCATTCATAGACCCTCGGCTTCTACAAATCTCCCCTCCCACCAGTCCCGTGGGATCAACATGTAGTTCTCGTGAGTGTGTTTCCTTTTTTTGTAAATTGTCATGGCTAGTTGGTTGCAAAGAAAAGAAGGAGGCTTCTTTTTTGGCAGATAAAACCTTAATTTTCTAGTTACTTACTGAAACCATGTTGACGGTGCTGGGTTTCAGTGAACTGTTCTGCCCACGTTCCTGATGGAGTATGTCCCACTC